GCGGCGGCTGCTGGATGTAGGGCATCACCGGGTTTTTGTTGGGGTTGGCCATCGGGGGGGTCATCCTCTGACTCAAGTCCGCGTTGAAATGGGTCAGAGGCTTAGTGTTGCCGTAGGTGAGAATATTGTGCTGTTTGTTTAAGGAGTTGGTACCCAAGTTATTTGGCTGCTGATTGATCATATTCATGTGGTTCTGAGGGAGGTAGTTATTCATTGTCGTCTTCTGCAGGTTGTTTGCCATGGGAGGCACTACGGGGTTTTGGTTGTTAAAGGCTTGGGGGTACATCATTGGGCTATTTGGTTTTTCCGCAGCGAAGGCTGCTCCGTAGGGGCTGGACGGGGGCCCCAAGGGCGACCAGCTGGAGGTCTGGTTGGAGTGGTGCTGTTGCTGCTTCTGTTGCATGAGTTTGGCCCTCTGTTGCTGCTGCGCGGCCATCTGCTTGAGCTGCTCCGCGGGCGACATGTCGGAGCTGGCCCCGGCCACGGGCCCCGCGGCGGGATTAAGGAGATAACCGTTTCCAGGCCGGGGTGGGGCTGGGCCTGGAGCGTGCGCTTGGCTGGGAGTCTGAGGGGACTGGACAGCACAGTTTGCTGGTGAGCTGGCGGGGTTTGGAGCTGCGGGAGTGCTGGCCACCGAAGGCAAACTCGCGGCCGTGGGGCCCGTGGAAAAGGGAGGGCCAGAGGAGGAGGGCCTCGCCTGGGGAGATCCCATGGAGACGTGTGCAAAAGGCGAGTGGGAGGGGTCGCTCTTCACACTCGCGCTCTCCTGGGAGAGAGGGGTCTCCGTCGCCGGCTGCGAGAATTCGGGCTCCTTCTTCTCCTCAAAGTCTTCGTTGAACAGGTCCTGTATGTCATCCTCAGGAACCGTGTTGGCCAGCTCATCGATTAATTCTTGCCACTCCTGATCATTCAGGTTAATGTCTGAGAACAGCTTGTTCTGATTTGAAAGAGACGTTTCGGATGTGTCTAAGCAAGTAGGGTCATCTAGAGGCTCTTGTTTGAGGTCCTTGCTCTGCAGGATGGTGAAGCTGTCCTCCAGGTCACTGCAACCGTTGACAGGAAGTTTGATCTCTGGAAGCCTACCATTCTTACTTAGATCTTCTAGAAGCCCAGGAGTGTGAGTCCCACTATTCTGCAAGGGCAAAGAAGGCTTCAGGTCAAGTTGGTGAAGAGGAGAAGCTGAAGGCAGTGGCATATTGAGGGTTTCCATTCCTGTAGGAATGTCCTTTCGTATTCTCTTGCTCGTTGGAGAAAAACTCCCATCGCAAGCACCATTCTGCTGGTCTCCATTAAGTGGTGATCGAGCTCCTTCCAACTTCCTCTTCACAGTCTCTTGGAGCTGGGAAAGAAACAGGAAAGAGGGTGAGTAAATCTCCAAGTCATCGGTCACTCTTTGAGCAAGGTGATGTACGACTGCTGTGAACTAACTTTTAAATGCTTTATCACACACGGGAAAGAAGTTCCACATCTAATTTCAAGAGTGGCCAGGCTTCAAATCCTGTGGGAAAAGGTTTTATCTAAAAGAACAGCTCATGAGGCTAAGAGATAGAAAACAAAATAAAGATTGGAGGGTGGGGAACAAAAGAAAAAGAGACAGTTAAAGGCAGTACTTCTCTTACAGCAGAGAATCATCCATCATTATTTTCCAAAGCAACGCATAATGTGAGACTTGGCCCCAAATGTGTTATACTTTCGCAAGATGTTAATACCTATCTTAACTTCTTCTCACATCTTAACTGAAGGAATTAAATCAACAGTATTTTGAAAAACACTAAAAATCCTCTAAGAATACGGAATTTAACGTTTACTGAATAGCACAGAAATGAAGATTAATGGTTGACATGACCCACAACTTCCTTCCAGTTCTTATTTACTTGGCCACCCAGCACCTTGTGATGCAGCAGCCCGCTCTGCTCTAAAAGCATGCTTCCATTGCTTTCCATGCTATCACATTTTCCTGGATTTCTTTCTTTCTCTCCGTCTGCTCTTTCTCAGTGTCATATGTATTCTTCGTTCGTTCTCCTAAATGTTGGAATTCCTCATTGTTTGCTCATAAGCTTTTGTTCCTGCCCACTCTACATGCTTAACTACATGACTGCATCCATTTCAACAGCTTCAACCATCTTCTCTAGGCTGATGATCCTGTTAACGAGGTACCCAGTCCAGTCTTCTCTGCGGAGTTCTATTAACTTCAGACCCCTCTTCCTGGATGTTTCATAGGCATCTAAAACTCAACACGTCTCAGCAGTGAGCTGGTTATCAAACATGATCCTCAACCATGCTCTCCATCCCAGTATCTACCCAGTTCCCTACTCAATATCTACTCACTTACCCAAACTGGAAACCTGAGCATTCTTCTCAAAACGCCTCACATCACCAACCACCAAGTCCTATGGATTCCACATCTAAAATATCCCTCTAATATGTCCACTCATCTCCAAACTCACTGCTACTATCCTAGGCCAGGATACCATTTTTTCTGGCTAAACTGTTGCAATAGTCTTCTAACTAGTCTCTTTGCCTTGCCTCCATTCACCCTCCATTACTCTTTCATCTATTCTTTTATCCATTGCTTTGCTCTCCAACAATCTATTGTCTATGCTGCCACCTCTTTCAAGAAATACTTTGCCTTTCCTGTTTATAACTCTGCAATGGCTTCCATTGCCTTTAGATTGAAATCCAATCTGAGCCTACTTCACCTGGTTTCTGCTCATCATTCCGGGTTCATCTTCTTGCTTCTCTGTTTAACATCACCTCCCTGTCCTCTGCCAAACATTTTCTATCAACTCCCTTGAAAGTCTTTCAGGTTCTTAGATGTGCCAAGCTTCCTTCTACCTCCAGGGTAGAAAACATGTTGTTTTCTTTTCTTGGAACAAACTTCTCCCGCCCCCCTCCCCTAGGTCAACAGCTACTCATCCTTCAGATTGTATCTTAGATTTCACTTCCTCTAGGAAATCTTCTTACATCCCTTCCCCACCCCCAACTACATTAGGTACCTTCTTTGATCCACCTATATTGGTTTGGATATCCTGGAATAAGTTTTTCCAAGCAACCTCTACTTCCCCAGTTAGAGCTCCTACCGTACTTTGGGGCGATTGCTTCAGTGTCTGTTTAGTGAGCTCCAAGAATGTAGGTACTCTGACTGATTTGCTTACTGTGTATCTGTGGGGCCACACCTAGTGTCCAGGTTCATAGCAGTAGTTGATACATAATGGCAAACTGAATGATTAATTCTGCTGTCTAATTCACAGGAGCTGAAAGAGGTGAGTTTTAATCAGAGCAGGAGGCAGCCTCATTTGACCATAAGAAATGCCTGACTTTTTTGGTGTGTGCCATGGATTGGCTTATTTATAGAAAAGATAATGTCTGCATAGATTGCTAACAATTTAGTGTGCAATCAAATAGAGGGCCCTGGTGCACATGATCTGCGAGGGATGAAGCCGTATGTGATGCTCCTTCAGCTCAGGCACAGCACCGTCCATCAATAGCCCCAGACTTTTGGGCAGATGGCCCCTACAAGAGAGTTTTTTGCTCAAAAAGCTGCAGGACCCAGACCTCCCCGGTGGGGACCTTGTGCAGCAGGAGTCCAGCCCTGACGGTTGCGGGACCTTTGCTTTCCTGTTCTGTGGGAATTTTTGCCACTGGAACTTGAGTATGACCCAGGAGCTGAGGTTCCTGGTAATGGGAATTCTTACCCTGGAGAATGTAGAGTGTTGTGTCCACTAAAATGGACTTATCTGAGAAGTCCAGTTAAGAAAACTCTTGTTAACTCTGTGGATTTATTAACTATAAACCTAATTCATCCGTCTGCCCCCTTCCTTTCTGCCAGAAAGGGGCAGTGTGTGGGGCTCTGATCAAAGAGCTTGGCATAGGGTAAGTACTGAGGAAGTGGCTGCTGAATGACCAAAGGAAGACTAAGTCAGGTTAGAAGAGGGATTCAGTAACTTCACAGAGTGGAAGGCAGAAGGCAGGATGACTTGGGGAGCAGGGAGGAGGGAGAGCGGTCCTCCACTTGGGCACTCTCTTATTCCTGCAAAGGTGCAGTGCATCATGGAAGCAAGGGGAGAGAGGAACAGAGTTCCCTCTGACCCTGTTCTTCAGCACTCACACGTGGAACTGCCAGGGCTCTAGAGGACCCCCATGTATAATAAAACCAATCTGCAGATGGTTTGGGGGACTCTAAGCAGTACCACTTGATTGCTATGCTCTCATAAGTAGAGGATTCCATTTCAAAAGTAAACAGAAAAGGTCCTTGAGTAAAAATCCAGTCTAACCCTTGTTCCTAAATCTGATATTTTTAATCACAACACCAAACACTGTCTGCAGTCATTTAGTAGAAGCCCCAGAATTGCTGAAAACAAGGGCCTAACTGGGACACACTGGAATTTGACTTCAAAAAAGATACTGGTTCAGTCCATCCTATGAGGCAGAAACTGCTAGAAAATTCAGGTATGGCAGATACCTGAATGTAGCTCCAACGCTCAGCAGCAAGTTCAAATATCACAGCTTCAGGGCCTAAAGAAGAGAAGACTTGGGGCCCTTGGCACCACTGTTAAAAAAAAAAAATGTCTTAAAAATGAACCTGACTTTATTTTAGAAAGTTCAGGTCCATGATTCTGTTGTTGGCCATGAAACAGATGGGGCGGGATGGGGAAATAAAGACAAATGGTCTGTTTGTTCCTCTGTAAAACAGTGGTGGCTGAGACCATGCTGAAGGACAGGTCTGGCTGGAACCCCAAGTTTCACCTCTTCCAGCTGAGGGGGCCTACCTGGGTGAGGCAGCACTGGGCAGTAATACAGAAACAGGAGCCCTGGCTCTGTAGTTAGAATGCCTGGGGTCAAACCTGAGACTACCACCTCCCCCACCCCCACCACCGAAGAGTTAGTACATATAAATGTCGTCTGGTACTTAATACATTAGCTATGATCCCCTCCATTAGAAAGTGAGTTACATGAGGGAAGGGATTTTTCTCTTTTGTTCACTAATGGGTCCCCAGTAGCTCAGAGTTGATGGTCGATCATTATCTGTTGAATGAATGGATCCTGGAAAACTTCTTTAACTTCTCCTAAGTTTTGGTTTCCTTATCTGCAAAATGGGTTAATAATATCTAGCTCATAGAGTTACTGCGAGAACAAACTTAAATGCAGTAACATAGAAAACACTTAGCTTCATGCCTGGTAACCTGTAAGTACCCACCTAAGCCTTAGCTATTATTATCTTTAAAATTCAGTGAGGGGCGCCTGGGTGGCTCAGTCGTTGAGCGTCTGCCTTGGGCTCAGGTCATGATCCCGGGGTCCTGGGATCGAGCCCCGCATCAGGTTCCCTGCTCCGCGAGAAGCCTGCTTCTCCCTCTCCCACTCCCCCTGCTTGTGTTCCCTCTCACGCTGTCTCTCTCTCTGTCAAATGGATAAAATATTAAAAAAAAAAAATTCAGTGATACCAGTATAGTCACAACTGCAAGTGAGATCGATTACTTTCTGGATCTTCAAACTACAAATAGGTAGAATGATAATATTTCTGTTCCCTAGCTGGCAAATCCTCATGTTTTCCAAGCATCTGGTGTAGCTTTTTTTAATATGAACAACAAAAATCAAGTTTGCCATTCAAGCCGAAGTCCAAACGCTAATGCATTCGTGTCCTAGATTGTAGGGCGGCACGAGATTGCTGAGGTTCAAATTGAATGCATTTTCAGCATGTGACCGGAATGGAGCTGCTGAGTATTTCCTTTTCCTTGAGGGCCTCAAGTTCTCCACTGCTGGTCCCTTTATTGACATACAACATTTGGGAAATAAGCAAATAAGAAAGACATCACTGAATATGCTATGTTGTGGTTTTATGTTTTGTTGTGCCCCAAATAGTTAGAGCAATCTTAGAATCTCTACTGTCTATCTCATTATTGTTTGCTCTACGGAAAGGTGGTTTGTGAGTCTAATTCTCTCATGTCCCTCTCACAAGACAGAAGGAGAACAGGCAGGAAGAGATAGAACCTGTGAGCTTGAGAAGGCTGAGGAACTCGCAAGCACTCTGCTCATTGAGCAGGAGGATGGCTGACTGAATAGAGGGGCCTTGTGAGCCCCTGCCTCCCAAGGACTCGGGTAAGAGTCTCATCCCAAATGGCTTCATCTCAGGGAAGTCCCTGGCCCTTCTGCCGTACAAAGTTGGAAGCCTCTTAGTATGATTTGTGCCCTTGCGGAAGAATCACAGAAACTCTTTACTGAGCATCAGCTTCCTTGTTCCTCTCTTACTATTATTACATATAAATGTTTTCACCCATTAAGAGAGGCTGTGGTGCCAGGAGCTGAAGTATGCTGTTCATCCCATGCCTGTGACAATATGGGCCACTAGCACATGTCAGTTACTCCAGAGGAGACAAGTCGTCCTCCAGAATGGCTTCAGCACGAGTCTCTCACCTCCAGTGTGGCTTGATAGCGTTTGTCTCCCATGAAACCATGATGTGCGTGGATGTATGTGTGAGAGATAGACAGACAGACAGAAAGGGGGCATGGGGGTAGGGGAAGAGAGGAACTGAGAGACACAGAAAGAAATTGAGAGGCTGAGAGAGACAGAATGGCTTGGGAGGCGTGACAGGACACTCACACCAGTAGTAAGAAGAATAGCTTTGCCTTTGGGGTTATAAAGTACTTTCACACAGGATCATATTTTATCCTCATATAAAATCTTTGGGGCAGGTCATGTGCTGGTCTTACGGCTCTATGGGGAAAAAGGTCAGTGCTTTGGAGAAGGTGGAATGGGGCGGGGTAGATGACACTCATAACAGGGATGAGGAACATAGCTAAGATTACCAGGCCTCTGCTCACACAGAGGCGCTTCTTAGGGGTCCCTTGGGCCAGCATACCCTCGAAAAAGAGATTCTTTCTGCCTTTCGGCTTTTAGCAGTACTAGTAAGTCAAAAAACAAAATAAAACAAAAACCTCATATTGCCTTGGCCCTAATTTTGCATGAAATTGGGCAGGGTCATGGAGCCTGGTAATAAAGAAGATGATACTGCTATTAATAATGAAGCCTTTAAGATGAAAGCCATCGGGGTAAGCCATCAGATTCCTTGTCTCCTACGCCTAATGCTTGTAAAAAAATAGGGTTTATTATAACTACCTTATGGAGAAGGAACTTCAGGCATAGTAAGATAAAGCAAGATTACAAAATGACAGAGCTGGAGGGGGGGAGGAGGGGAAGGGGGACCCAGGTTCAAATTCAGACTCAGGCCTGACTGCAGAGCCCACACCACACCCTCCCCCGTGGATGGCAAAGCCTGGTTGTGCCTTCATCACTGGCACTGGACTCCGATGCTGATCATCAGAATGCTCTCTCACACTGTTTTCAGGAATCATCCCCGATCCCATTCTCTCCAACCACCCACACCCAATTAAACCTCAAGAACTATCTGTTCTTATCATCTACAAATTTTATTTTCATCTTCCACCCCCAATGCCACTGCATTCGTTCAGATCATCAACACTTCTCTTGTGATTTCTGCAGCAGCTCCCGAACGACTCTCTCTTCCCCAGTCTTGCTCGTTCCCCTCCAAACCGGTTCTCTGCACTGTGCCTGTATTTTTCTTTATAAAGTGTGAACCTGGTCATGCCCATTGCCCACCTGCAGCTTTTCTGTCTTCAGCATCACCTAAATCCAGCACAGAGGCCCTCCGCAAGTCGATCCTCATCTCTGCTTACTTACCCCTCTCCTGTCTTAGCTATCACCTCTCACCTTCTTCCCTTCCACCTGTCCACACCCCCTCCCAACACCAGTCAACTCTAACCCTTTGGCTACCCGTAATTATTTGTAGTTCTCAGGACATATGGTGTTTATTCTCTGTCACTCTGGGCCTTTGCATATATCCTCTTATCCAACTTCTTCACCTGACCAAATCTATTTGTCCTTCCCAATTCAGTTTCGACATTACCTACTCTACAGTCACTCTTGACAGCCCCTCCCCCCAGGCCCGATCCTGGAGGCCATCCACTTGCTCCCATGGCATTCTCATACATATCATCCTATAACTGCTTTCCTCTTTCTTCGTGGGACTGTACTTATGAATGACCACTAAGGCGATCTCTCAAATGACCACACTGAATTTATGGGAATTATCCCCGAAAGTACGTGCTTGAAAATGTTGGCCTGCCTAGTATTTTCATGACAATTGAGTAAATGTCCAATTTATTTTGGTTCTTTTAAGATGCTGGAAATGGCTTGTGAACTGTCCCCTCCTCAATATTTTTGAGGACTCTTAAGGATTCAGGGAATCTATGCGGAGAACAACCAGAGAGACAGGAAGACAACTGTGCAAAGGAAAACTGAAACTGAAACCCAGAGACTTCATGTGGCATTACCAAGGTCAGATGTTTTGACAAGTGTGTCAACTCAGAATTCTGGATATTTTCATAGCTGAATTTTGAATTTCCATACAAAGGCTTTAAGTGGTTTTCACTCACCAACCAGCTGCGTGAGTGAGCTTTCTTCACCATATTAGAGATACAACCATTTCCCCGGACTTGAAGATGAATTGGAATTTCAGTTTGCAGATGCTATAACCAATTTAGAGGCTCACAGAGAACATTTTGGTCATTTTGATCTGCTCCAATCAAACCAGAAGATGATTCACTATCAATTTTCATACGGTTATTCTCTTCCCATTCTACCAGCAGATAATAAGCTTATGAACACATAGATAAATTTGAAGAGTGACCCAGAATACTCATGTGTTAGATATTTTAATTATTAGAGTATGAACGGTGTGCAAAAACACTTCCAGAACTGTCTTCCAGATTCAAGCACCCTTAAAAAGGATCCTTTGAGGTTTCTTTAGAGGTTCAATTTTCTAGACCATTCATTATCCAACTCTAAAGGGACCTGGAGAACTGTTAAAAATGCAGATTTCTTAGTCCCATGACCACAGTTTCTGATTTAGTAGCTCAAGGTGGGACCCAGAGCGGGACACTGGTTGGAGGCATGGGTATCTAAAGATATTTAACAAAAACCTTGATTCCTCTGAGGTAATTGGTCCAGGATCCCTAGTTTTTAGGAATTCTGATCTAGAATAAGAATTCTGTTGGCGTTCTGACATTCTGAAGTTGTTGGTGTGATTTTTTTTTTTAAATATACATACACACACAAACCCAATGTCCATATAAAATGTTCCTGAGTTAACTAGTGATACTCTGGGACAGCTCACAAACAGGACTAAGAAACAACACTCTAGATTGTTTTAGTTCAAACCTCAGAGGACCCTGGATTCTGTAGAAACCTGCTGGATTTCTATAAGACTTTTCATGAAAATGTTTATTTTTTTACATTTTAGGTTTCTCTGAGCAAAGTACTATCCTAGACCATTTCCTCCCTCCACATTTATACTTCCCTTCACTTTCATTCAGATGAACGGAGGGCATGCTGTGTACCCATGTGCCGGGCGCTGAGGGGTGGACTCGGTCCTAAGAACAAAGACCACACCCGAAAGTAAACACATGTCAGACATGTATTGACAAAAGTTGAGTAGTTTTTTTTTAAGATCTATGTGAAGGGCAGAACAACACAAAAGAAAAAGAGAAATCTTATCACAACTCCTGAAGTCTTCCTTGTCAGCCTTACATACTCCTAACATTATTTTAGAAAGAAAACAACTTTACAACATAATAAAAGTCATATGAAAAATAGACACACACACACACACATGCTATTTTCCTGAAAGCCAAGAGTTAAAAACCTCTCCTTGTGACCATCCCAGGGTGCAGCTTCTCTGGACCCGATCAGTGGGAAATGTTGGGTCTCTGGAGGGAATGTCAGCCATGGGCAGTTAGAAATCACCATTCTGAAATGCCCAGGAGGAAAAGGATCATCTTAAAAGGGGCATCCTAGTGGGTATCTGTAACCTCAGCCACAGAAAGCCCAGGGAATGCCGGGGCCCTGCTCAGCACCCCAGTTCAAGGGAACAGGGCCATTCAGAACATTCTGGGGGACTTTGAGGTTATTTTTAGAAATGACCATGATCTTTTTCCTTTCTCCTATGAGTCAGATTTAAAACTCTATTTCCAAGTAGTCTTAGGTGTACACAAGAGTGATTGTACCTCTCTTCAGTGTTTGAAACATGGATGCTCACCCAATTCCAGCCGTTGAGGTCCCAGAGTAAGGTACTTTTTAAAAGCATTTAAAATGTGTGTGTGGTTGGATTTTTATGTATGCTTTTATCCTTCAGTTATTCTCTTTTTAAAGCTTTTATTTATTTGAGAGAGAGTGAGAGAGAGAGAGAGAGCACGAATGGGGAGAGGTAGTGGGAGAGGGAGAAGCAGATTTCCTGCTGAGCAGGGAGCCCGATGCGGGGCTCAATCCCAGAACCCTGGGATCATGACCTGAGCCGAAGGCAGACGCTTAACCGACTGAGACACCCAGGTGCCCCTATCCTTTAGTTATTCTTAAATGTGTAATAAGCACCAACCGAACATACAGCAACATATTGAGAGTGGATCATAAAACATCAGTAGCAGTGGCAGACAGGCCCCTGGCATTTAGAAACGCTAAGTCCCAACCTCTCCAATCTCCATACTTCCAAATACAGAAATGTTCATACAGGCTCTTGGCTTTCTCTCAACTGAATGGGCAAATTATATTTTCATCACAAGTCACACGAATCCTGTGTACATTTTATATCTGAAGTTACAGTGTTTTTCACAAGCTTCATACATGTAGTTCAAATTGGTGCTTCAACAATTATTAACTACTCATTAAAAACTGAGACTGTTATTTCTGCAAATGCCAAGGTTATATGATTTTCGAATCTCCTCACATAGTTTTCAGTAGAAAGCTCTAAACTTTTTTTTAAGATTTTATTCATTTATTTGAGAGAGCGATAGCATGAGCGGTGGAACGGGGGCGGGGGGCGGGGGGAGGTAAAGAGAGAGGGGGAAGCAGGCTCCCCGCTGAGCAGGGAGCCTGACGTGGGGCCTGATCCTGGGACTCCAGGATCATGACCTGAGCCAAAGGCAGATGCTTAACTGACTGAGCCACCCAGACGCCCTGAAAGCTCTAAACTTCTAAGTTTTTACCAGTGAATTTGATTCACTGCTTACTAAATGTTCAAGATATCCTTGAAGTCATTTGATATTCTAACTGGCTGAGAGCTTACCCTGTACCAGGCATTAAGCTAAGTGCTTTACATATATTACCTAGATTAATCCTCACAACAACTCTCTGATGGATGAGGAACGGGCTCAGAGAGGATAGTAATTTGTCCCAGGGCACACAGCAGAGCCTCTTCTCAGCTGCACTTGTTCTCACCTACTCTGCTATTCTGCATCCGAGGACTCCTGTCCTGATTAAACATGAGCAAACCTTGCTGAGAAATTCTGGGAGAGGGTTTTAGACACCCGTGTCGTGACAGTCTAAGGAGGATGTGTTCATGTCTCCCAGTCAGATCTGCCTGATTCACAGAAAAGCGTTGTGCTCCTCTTCAAAGGAAGATGTTCCTCTGCAAATTTAGCATGCGTTTGAGAAGTGATGAGAGCTGTAGCCCTGAAAACTTCGGGAGGGAGCAAACGTGCGCATCCCAGTAGCAGCTTCCTTTCCTTGGTAGCGCTCTGTCAGAAAAGCTCCTCTGAGATCTGTGGTTGCCATCCGAATTCCACAATCTGAACCCCGAACGGCTCTGTCTTCTCATACACATAAAAACACGCACACGTATTACATTACGTTTATTTTTAAGGACAAGAAACAATTTTCTTAGGAACGTCTCTGCCATCTCTTACTAGAAGTCATGCATACGTTATGTATTCAAACACGCCTATATGTGTGACCTCGTATTACAATCTGAAATTCCTAATGGGATTTTATTTAGAGCTGTAAAGAAATGACTGTGAAGGAGGTTGGTGAGGAAGAAGAAAAGAACCATAGGGAGGAAGAGGGCAAATGAGAAGATCAGATCTTATCTGCATCATTCACAGCTGGAGACTTACACCAACAACACAGACCCAAGAACGGGCATGTTAGGACGAAGCACAGGAGATTCTGATTTGTTTATTCTCTGGGAGGAGGAAGGCGGGAAGGAGAAATCCTTCAGGGAGGCTCAGTACTTTTCTCTCCCTTGGGTAAAAATCAAGAATATTTTTATTGCACTGTTTACTCAAAATGTCCCTTCTTTTCAACGATAAATTCTCCTTTTAGTCTTTAGTCCCTTCCAGGAGACCAGTTTACTCAGTGGCGCTTAAGTCCTGCACCCAGCTTGGGGGACACAAATAGCCCGCAGCACCCAGACCCAACACTGCTTTCAAACACAATCCCAGCACGTGTTTATCTCCCTGTGGAAAACCAAAGTTTGAAATAAGATCTAGTCTATAAAAAGCCTCTTGCTTCCCTCAGAGGTCAGACATTGCTCTTTCTGGTGAGGTGTAGTTTGCATGAAGCACAGCGAAGAGCCACTTGCTGGAAGAGAATTCTCAACTTCTCCCACCCACACACTCCCCCCCATCGCAGCCCGTGAGCGAAAGGACGTTATTCTTATTTCTAGACAGTGTCTGACTCCCAGACCTCCATTCCACAGCAGGCTTTTACTCCAAAGCTGAAAGCTAGGGGACCTGCCCTCATTTACCAACAAGATTACCATTATTTACATGTGTTTAGAGTAACTTTTGTTCAGGAACGGGAGACAAGGCAGAACTAGAGAATTCTTCTTTCCAG